TTTCTACTGTCCAGAGATACTATGCAACATAGTAACAACAAGTGTGCAGTGCAGTAATATTTTATTATTTTCTCCAGATTATAGGTCATTGTAAAGCAGAAATCATTTTGATTGCACCTTTAGAAAAAAAAATCAAAATATCAAAAACAATACTAAACAAACAAAAAATAAACAGTTACACTGAGCATCCTATTTTATGCTAATAAATGTCACATGTCAGTATAGCCACCCTGTTTACTGATGACTTTCAACAGTCTGCTGTCCACTGTTTTTGTCAAATTGTTTATTGTTTCCTTCGAAACATGTGCTGCTGCTTCCTTAATTGCATCCCACAATGCATCCTTGGAGTTGTATTGCTTACCATTAACATAAATTGTCTGCTTCAACACCGACCAGAGGTTCTCAATTGGATTTAAATCCGGTGAACAAGAAGGCCACTCCATGATCTGTTCCTGCTTGAATCCGTTGCGCTCCATCCAGGCTTTTGTGTAATGGGATGCGTGTGAAGGTGCGTTATTGTGCATGAAAATCAGCAGCTTGCGTTGTCTGGCCGGATGCTTCTTCCACCATGGCACAAAGTTGGCATTCAAAAGATTACAATATCCTTCAGAGTTCAGTTTAACACTGTCCTCAACACGAAATGGTCCATTCATCTGATCTCCAACGATAGCAGCCCAAAACATGACTCCACCCCCACCTTGTTGTCGACATAGTTGCACTGGTGCAGACTGCCCCTGAGTTATCCATCCTCTGGCCCATCCATCTGGTCCATCCAGTGTTGCTCTACACTCGTCCGTGAAAATAACGTGTGCAAAGTCAATTTCATATATTTTTCAGCCCAGGAAATGCATTTGGATTTGTGGTTTTTGTTGAGAGGTGGTCGTCTTTGAGCCTTTCAAACCTTGGCAATCTCCTTTAAAGCCTTACAGCGTGTGGTTCTGGATACTTTGGGCAGTTCGCATGCTTCGAATACATGTACCTCTCTGCTGGTTGCTAGAGGATTTCTGGTAACATGACGGCAAATCTGTGGAAGGTGCCGGGCATTAATGTTTTTATATTTTGATTGAACTTGCTTTTTTGGACCACTTTCGCTGTTTGCCACAAATTTTTTCACAGTGCGGCGATCTCTGGAAAGGCACTTGGCAATATCCAATGTAGATTGGCCCAGTCGAAAGCAACTGCACAATTTTTTGTTTTTCAGCAGGCTGGAGATCACCTTTTTTACCCATCTTTATTGTACAGTGGACTGTTGCATAATAACTCTGGACAGTGTTTTCTGAAAATAACTCACATTTTGACTTTTATCTCATGAGTTACAGACAATGCTTCTCCTATTGCATTTCTCACATGTCCACTGAGGCATGGAGAGCAGTTGGGGCATCAGTGTACAAGACCCAACCCACTCTGTGTGGGGGAGGACTTTCCCATGTTGGTAGTTATGGTGTGGACTCAGGGTTTTGTATGGTGTTTTGTGGGGTTTTGTGTGTTGACTTTGTGTGTTCAGCTAAAGAAACCTTTTTCAACTGACACTGATTGACTCAGATGTGACAGTTTGGAAGCAGACCTTAGGCCAGACTTGGACAGAAGTAGACTCAGGCTTGGTTCTGACTCAATCTTTCATGATCTCAGCCTGGATTTGATTTACCTATCTTGAAAGGGACCTTAGTGTTACAAATTTTCATTGAGTCTTTTATAGCAGTAAATATATGTACATGAGACACATTTCATATACAAGGTTGGAAATGGTTCTTCACTAAATATTAAATTTTGTGAAACAACCATAGAAAATTCATCTTGAGACAGGTTGTTGTCCCACTTCCAGTATTGATTCCATTTCAAGACAATATTGGTACTGATGTTTGTCAAAGTGTAGCTGAAAAGCCGGAGTTTCTTATTTATGGTGTAGTTTCTCCTTAACTGTATGGTGAAATACTGTCCATTTTGCTGGCAAGTGGACATACATGTATGTAGATTTTCCTTCTTAACCCTTGATTATAGGACTACCTTTTTTCAAACAATCTTTATTTTTGCGAGTATTTTAAGCTTAGGCATTGAACTACATAGTTTATTAAGTTTCTTAATTTAATATAATGTACATCTAGAACATTAAGCATTTCTGGTACGGAAAGGAAGGATTTCTTAAAAGTGCCCTTTCATTATAGCTCATAAGCCTGAAGAAGCCTGCAGAGTTATGACAGTGAGAAGTAGTTTAGTTTTAACCACTTCGTGCCGGGGCATTTTTCAACGTTGAGGATGCTGGGCCGGCATGACTATCATTTTTTCTGTTTTCAAAATCCTTCAGCAATTCATCATTCCATTTAACAGTCGTTTATAGCCACACGGAGTAATCTTCAGGCACTACTCTACATGTAAGTTGACAGGTGACCTTCATTGATGCCTGAATATTTCAGCCAGGCCTGC